AAATCTTAGTCTTATATTTAAAGTTTTATGTTTCGATATGCCCCGAAAAGTGTTGCCACATGTTTGTTAGGGAAAAATGATGACCGCCCATTTTGGCCTAATTACATAGCCAAGTTTGCATTTGGCTTGCGTTTGGCTGCAGCTGCAGCAAATGGTTGCAACTTCCAAAAGGCAAAAAAGCGAAAACAAAATTTGATTAGTTGCAATTTGATTTTACGAGCGTTTTTTCTGCTTCTTTCCGTTTGAATTTAATTATGTGCGTATTTCGTGGTAATTTCAGCCACAAACTGAATACAAAGTGTCTGCAACAATTTGCATGCGGCATGCGGCATGCGGCATGCGGCATGCGGCATGCGGCTTGTGGGCTGCTCCACTAGACTTGGGAGAGCTGAGTTTTGGATTCATCAATCTACATATTAGACCCTTAGAAACAGACGGGCAGACAGACCAACTCACCTTTTCTAGAATCTGGATCTAGAATATATATGCTTTATGCATGGGCACAAAAACAAACATTACTTTGATATCGATGTTTATCGATTGCTGGCAAACGGGGCAAGTTATCGATTGTTTGAAGTTTCTATTGAGCGGACACTAGAAGGTCACTTGTAGTTCTGATATACGGACAGACGGAAGGCTTTTGTTAATCATTTTTAGAGGGTTCCGAATAGCCCGAAATAATATCGGGGATTCGATACTTGAACTTTATGGAGGCTCGTCTCAAAAGTGGCTTGTATGTGCATAACATGCGCCTTATCATAAAAAAATAATATGATTATATTAAGTTATATTAACTAAAAAGATGCCTAAACTATGCTATTAACTAGCAGATATGCCAAAATGCCGCCATTAAAGAACAATTGCCTGCATGCCGCAGCCCTAAAGTATGCTACGAGTTTTTGCTGGGGTAGCAAAAATATAATATATATATAAATTATAAATAAAAGTGATTTATCTTATATAGAAATACATTTGGATATATTTTAGGGAAATTTCTGGGCTTTCATAATTTTGTTTAAAGATTCTTGCACTTTTTATACTCTAAACCCATTCAAAATGGGTATAAGGGTATATTGTATGTGTCCAAATGTATGTAACAGGCAGAAGGAAGCAACTCCGACCCCATAAAGGATATATATTCTTGTTCAGCATCAATAGCCGAGTCGATCTAGACATGTCCGTCCGTCCGTCCGTATGTATGAACGCAAGGATCTCATAACCTATAAGAGTTTGAGACTTGAAATTGAATAGGTGTAGGTGCTCCTAGTGCCTGCGCAGATCGAGTTTGTTTCCGATAGTCGATAACTTACTCCGCTTCCAAGCAATCGATAAAAATCGATATCGATATCCTGTTTTTTGGGCAATTTTGGTAAATAATAAGAGCTAGAGACACCAAACTTGACATATAGCTTCTAAAATATAATATATATATGCATTTGATGTTGCAAGAAGAGGGTTCAGGGTATCCCCTAGTCGGGAGCTCCCGACTAGAACCTCTTACTTGTTTTTTGGGTACAACACGGGCAATGAACTGCGCTTCTCTCACTCAGACTCTGTCTCTCGCTCTCGCTCTCCCTTTCCACACATTTGCATTTGTGGACTAAACGAATGCCCATTCGTGTTGTTGTTGTTGTTGTTGTTGCTCAACCGGAACTATGAGGTCGTAGTGCCCATTACGACAATTGCAAAGCGAAGAAAAGAAACGGCAAATGAAAAATGTAAACAGTCCAAATTTATAACAAGAACAACAATAACAATAACAATGGGAGCTCCTGCTAACCCACAAAACTGGAGGTGATTGCACTGCCAGCCGCAGGACTAGGCTCTATAGAGTCCAAGTACCCCCCGATCCCCTCCCCTGCCCTGCCCAGACCCCTCGCTGCCTCAGCAAATTGGCCAGACACGCGATTTGGCGGCTTGACTTAGTTGCGTGTCAACAAACTGAATTTTAATGAAAATGCATTTTTGAGTTTTTCCCGCACGGTTATTGTCGCCCCTCTATGCGCGCCTCTATTGAATTAACCCAGTTTCAGTCTTTGAACCCGGACTCATATTAAATGCCGCAAGTGTAAATAAGAAAAGGTAACAAGTCTTTTGTGTGCTCAACTTAGTCAGCGCAGCGCTCGGACAATTATTTGGCCAGTCTGTTGAGTACACAAAAGAGAAGAAATCTCAGCATAATATTTGTCCAGTTTTGTGCACAAAAACAATAAGCCACACATAACAATGCGGGGCACACAAATAGCGCTAGACGTGAACCAAACTGTTTGCAATTATTGCATATATGCCATAAGTACTTTTTCGTATTGAAAAACAATGCTAATGGCATAAGCGAATGCTCGCAGACAGACTTGCTGACTTGTCTACAAGAGTGTCCTGCAGGACAGGTCATCGAGAGTGTCCTGCAGCCAGAGATAGTCAAGTACAAGACTGTATTTCTCGACTAAAGTCAAGCTTTCACACGCACAGTGCTCACGTATGCAAGCTTTGAGCTTGTATTGCGACTGTCTTGAGGAATTTGCTGAAAGCTTTCAAAGCTCACCAATACAAGCGCAGCGAAAGCTTTCAAGTATTATACGAAGCGCACGAACTCACAGTTTTGTGTTCGTTTAATGGACAGATTCTAACTTTATAACCCGACAGGAAGGGGCCCAAAAAAGGATCTAAAAGCCTTTTCTTACTGCCCTGCGCTATAGCACATACAAATTAGCGCAATTAAGAGGCCAACAAAAAAAATAACAAGAAATAAACAAAATTAAATGCAAATGCTCTTGCCACGCCTTTGACAATACGTCAAAAATTCGCTTTGTTCAATATTTAAATATTGTTTAATTAATGCATTTCGTCTGATGAACGGCGCGGCGACAAAAATAAAACTGAGTCAAATTTATTTTTGTTTTTATTTTAATGTGTTTCATTAATTTGCTGACTTTTTATGGTCTGGCAACGCTTGAGGCTTGAAATTAAAACAAACCTGTTTTGTATTTTTTTTTCTTTTTGCATTTTCGTGTAGTTTTACATAATTAATTTCAATTTCGTTTAACTTTGTCATTGACACGTCGCAACAGAGCTCAGCCACAAGATATGCCAAGCATATATTTATCTATATATATATATATGTAAATCTGCAATCATATTTTGTCTACAACTTTCACTTTCCTCGGCTGGAGTTGATAAATTAAAGTACGCGCAATTGCGACTCGTTCACAATAGGTGCGTAAAATGTCAAATTGCAGTGTGATTATCAACAGGTGGCAACGCCCAGCAACATTTTCAATGTACTCTATTTGAGGTTATGTTCGTCGTTGTTGTGTCGTTCACTTCAGACCAACTTCGATTGAACGGTTCATCAAAATGAACTACTGAACTTATTCAGTGATTAATGAACTAAATCGTTCATTTAGTTCACTCGTTCAGCTATTCAGTCGATCATGAACAATGTATTCTGTACTCGTTCAGCCGGTCATGAACGATACGTTCTTTTGAGATGTTCAGTTCTTAATAAACATAAAAGATAGCGGAATTTAGTTTCAATTTTGATTTGACTGCATAAGTGAACTAAGCGAATAGTTCTTGAACGACCGTTTTAGTTCACGGCCAGAAAATGAACGAGTGAACTTGTTCAGCAAATTGAACTAGAAATCCCCACTCTAATAGCCACAATATCATATAGCTTTCCATCCCAATTCAGCTTTTCGAATATATATATTCGTATTTGTTATAAATTCGGAAATATTCGGAATTTAAATTTAACATTTATGTACGCCTTAAATCAATTTAATACTCAAAAATTGCGTAGGCCTCACAGTCAACCAACCCAGCCCAGTTCCCCTTCATGCCGCTCAGATTGTGCGCCATAATATCCTAAGTAAATATTATATGCGAGGGTTGGGTTGGCTCTCATTAGCGTGGGCCTTGTGTGAATCAGTCAGTGCTGGGAAACGTTTGTTTTTCTTTTATGAAAAATTTTTGTGCGCACTTATTCTAATTCTTGGAAATATATTACGCAAAGACAAACACCCACAACATGTTGGCTACAGTGAAACCTCCTTGAAAATGTTCACAAACATTTTTGTCTCTTTCGCATGCTTTTATCTACAGACGCGCGCCGCGGTGTGCTTATCATATTTATAGATAGTGCTGTTATAGATAAGACTACCCTTTATTTAAGAACTGTTTCTTATGATAGATTGAACAAACAAGTGTCACTCAAAAGTGAACTTTGTAGCCAGGAACATGTTCTGAATGTGAATGACATTAGTTTTTCTTGATCAAATTTTGATTTTGGTAAAACTCACAAATTCTTATTATCTAGAATGCAAAAAGTTGCACATTTGTGCACCTTTCTTCTCGATTCTCAACCATTACTCAATTGTGTTTTGCAACACTGCCTCCAGCTCTAAACTACGCCGCATGAACACCTGAGCCTAGCCCAGGCACTCACCTGTTGCGATTATGCAAATTGACAATTGAATATTGATTATTGTTCAGTTGTGTATATTTATTTGCATTCATGCGTTAAATATAACTTAATTAATAGGACAACACATGAAATATTTGTGTATATATATATATATATGTAGATAGGTACAAATGTTTACATAATTAAAATTAAAATCACATTTTAATTATATTTGTTTTTTTTTTTAGTATGTCAACAAACTTACAAAACTAAAACAAACTGTTTTTATATATTTTTCATTTCTGATTTGTCTTTAGGTTAAATTCAAAGCACATTTTGCATAGGAATCAAGCATCAATAAACGAGTAAACGAACGGGCACACTGCCAAAAGTGTTGAGAAACAGTTGCTGTTTTTGTTTTTCTATTTGGCAAGTGTGCCCTATTTTTTTTTTCTTTTTTGCTCATAGCGCTCCTCCCACTCGCTCCCTCTCTCTCTCCCTCTCGCTCTGCATCGCTACAGAACGGTCATGGCGATGAACATGAGCAAGACGATGATGAGCCAAGGGCAAATGAACATTAGGCAGGCCACCTCAAACATATTTGCGGTATCTGCTTCCTCTTGCGCTTTTGATGTGTTGAATATGAGATCTCAGGTGGTGGACAACTGTTGCTCTTCGAATTGTAGTTGTTGTTGTTGTTGTTGTTTTTATTTCTTGCACTTTGTCGCACAGTTTATGCGCCGTTTGCCTTTTTTCTTCACTGCACAACTATTACTGTTGTTTTGCTGCTGCTGCTGTTGTTGTTGTTGCTGCTGGTTTTTTCTTCTCGAGCAGCTTACTGCGTCTGCTGCCATAACACAACGACGTACGACGTTCACTGTCACACTGAGCGGCTGGCTAACCGCTTGAGTGTCTCTGCCGCTGCCGCTGCCGCTGCCGTTGCTGCTGCTGCTGCTGCTGCTGCTGCTGCTGCTGCTTCACTGCCTTTGCTTTGGTTTGCTTCGCGTCGCTCTGTTGCGTCCGCCGGTTTGTTTGCCTTGTTATGCCTATGTGCATGTGTGCATGTGTGTGTGTGTGCGTGTGTTGGTAACTGTCAATCAGCCTCTCTGTCGTGCGCTCTCTCTCACCACTCACCACTCACCTCTTTTTTACTATGAGTTGTGTTGATGACTCTGCGCTCCGATCGCTGCTGCTGCCGCGCTCTCTCTCGCCGGCAGCGCTTAGTTCTGCTTACCTTTGCAATCGCTTGCGTTGGAGGGAAGGGGGGGTGGTTGGTTGGTCGCTGGGCAATTGCGTTTTATTTCATTGACCCCGGGGCAATTCTTGCGTTTCCACTTTGCGTTGCATTTCGTGTTGACAGGAAAATCTGATGGAATTAATCAAAGCTTGCTAAGCGAAGCGCTTATCAGTGGCAGAACTTAACGAGCTTTGAGCTTTGGCTTACCTTCTTGCACAGAACTGACGGAGCTTTACAGCTGGCAGCCTGAGAATCGCTGAGAGAGGCGCCGAAAAGCAGTGCTCCAAAATATAGTAAAACAAAAAAAAAAAGTTGAGTTTTCTTTTTAGCTTTGCTTCAAAAACAAAAACTAACGAAATTCAGCTTTATATGGCATATATTTCAAGGTTGAGACAACTTTGTATGGGCATTATTTAAGGGTATATTGATTGCCTTGCCTTAGAATGAGTATTCTTTGCAAATCTCTGTCTTTTTAATGCTTAAGGTCTCTTTAAGTCGTAAGTCTATTTATGCATAGATTATGCCTAAGGCTAAATTTGTATGGCAAAAATAGAAAATAGGAATCCGAATTTTAAAAAAACATCAAATTTTAAAAGTCTAAATGACAATTTACAATTTTGAATATGTTCTCGAGTCAAGAGTTTACTGTAAATACATGTTTTCCAACACTGAAAGCAGCCTCTACAAAAATATCGATACTTCTGAAGTAAAAAAAAAACTTTTCCATTGAGAACTAACCCAACCGCATATCGTGATCAACTTCTGTGGCGACCTTTTACAGAACTGGTCCGAGCGTAATGCACTGCGATGTGGCCATATGGAAAATTACAGGCAACCAGTTTTTAATTTGAGTTTGTGTCTGTTTCCATTTCCTAAGTAGTTTCCATTAACAAAGGCACAAAGCACCTAATCTTATCAGAGCTAGAGCTCTACCAATATGTCTGCATGAGTTGGGGCTCTTCAATCAGTTGGGCTACTTGAGAATTGGTTAATTGTGCTAAATATATGAATGAGCCACAATATAAAAATATGAAAAAGCAATAAACAATTTATAGTCTAGCAATATCTAAATCTACAACAATAAATTAATTGTCTAGATTAAAAGTACTTTGAGTAGCATATTAATGAAATTTCTATTCTCTTTCCTTTGCAGGTATGTTGTGATTCATTTCTAGGTGTACGTAAGTAATATACAAAAACTTATAGAGGGAAGAATCTGGAGATAATAAGGAAAATTTGTATATATTATTTAGTCTAGAAAGTAAAAACCAACTATTTTCAAGAGCTAAACGGATGCATACTAAAGATTAGCTTTCAGTGTTGATAAACGTCTTAAAGATATCATTTAAAATAGACCAGTATTGGGTCCAATTCCCAATAATGTTACGTAAGTCATAATATGGAAAAAAAAACTTTTTTTGGCTAAGTTTTTAGTAGTTCTTTCAAATACCTCTAACTAAAATTAGAGAGATTGGATAACAAGTTTTTCGGTTTTTTATAACATCTAGAGATATTTCCCAAACTTATTAAATGTAACGGCACAACTGTGCACTCCATTGTCCGGCTGTCCGAACTTTGTGTACACTTTCCCTTGTTTATGCTTTGCGCTCAATGTAGGTCATGTTCCAGTTCCGTTAGCACAGGGCGAATGCGAGCGGGTGTGGGAGGGAGGGAGAGAGAGAGAGAGAGAAGTGGACTTAAAGATGCGAAGAGCATATGCAATTAACATGGTTCTGATGAGTTGCAAGAAGAAGAAGAAGAAGATGAAGCAGCAGCGCAGACAAGTGTCCTTAGCATGTCCCGTTTTGCTCGTTTCCTTTGTCTTATACAATCTTTCTTATCGCCTGCGACATTGATTTGTCATAGCCGGTAATTAACTATTTAGAATTGTTGTTTGTATTTTTGGTGCTGCGTGCGGTGAGGTCCTTGCACAAGGACCTTAAAATTGTGCGCCTCGTTGATTATTTATAAATTGGCGTAATTAGTTAGGCAGTCGGCGAGCCCGTCGGCGACGACCCCAGCAAAATTAGGACAACGACAATCGGAGAGTACAAATCTGCTGCCCTCTCTCACGCTCGATTTACAGCGTGTGCAGCGTTCATTTCTGCAAGCCAGCAGCAGCCGCCTCTCTCTCTCTCTCTCTCGCAATTGTCCATCTATTGTTGTGATTGCTGCGAGCTCACCACACCACACCACACCACATCACACTTCACCTCACCTCACTTCGCAGTTAGCAGCAGTGACCCAGGCACATTTGTTTGTATTTGTGTTTATGCTAAGCGTATGCGCAGGCGCCTTTTGCAGCACCAGCGCAGCGGCAGAGCATATCAGGTGGATATACATAAACCTCTTAATGTGCTCTCACTCTCTCTCTATATTTATGTATGTATACGCATGATAGAGAGCGTGTACAGTGGCAATGGCTAATTAGTAGGCTGGCGGGCGGGGGGAGGGTCAGCTCTGTTTGGTAACGGGCTGCCACCCACACACATACACACACGCATAGTTCCTGGGCGCTTTAGCTTAATCAATGCGCGCCCACTTAAAGGCAATTGCAACATAAACTCTCTCGCTCTCGCGCTCACGTGGCAAAGTTAAGCACAGAAATGAACTTGCAGCGCTGCTGAGAGAGCGCGCGCGCTCGAGAGAGCATTTGTGTGCGTATGTATTGGTGTGTCTGTCTGTGTTTGCCTGCGCTCATCTGCATGACGATGAACGCGCCAAACGGGTAACACACAAAAAAGCTACCCTCAGAGTGCTGCTGCGGCTGTCAATCTACACTTTGGCTTCTTTCTAACCAACAAACAACAATTGCATTTAATAAAGTGGAACATCAAATCAAAATAATAATAATAATAAAAGTCGAAATATATCTATATTTTATATAAAAATCCAAATTTCGCTAGCTAAACGTATTAAACGGCACAACGTCTTATCTCGCGCCCCTGCAGCAGCGTGTGTACGTGTGCGCGTTTCATGGTGTTTGTGGCAAATGCGGAAGTTGCCGTCGCTGCCATCGTCAGTCTTCGTCGGACGTCGCAAGTGTGCAACGCAGTTGCTTTCCAACAAAACAAACAAGCAGCAAAGTGCTAAACCAAAAGTAATTTGTGTTATATAAATGATTACAAAAAAAAATAAAATAAAATAAAATTAATTAGAGCTGTGCACATATATATATATATATATATCTAATTTGTGTTGTTTATAAAAAAAAGGCACGCAACGCAATCAAAATTCATAAGCGAACGCGCCTCAGTTCTATAACTCGACCAGGCGACAAAAGCGTCCGTTGCCAACTCTCACGCGCTCGCTCGCGCTCTCTCTCTCTCTCGCGCGCCCTCTCCTTCGTTCGCTCTGTGTGTGTGTGTGTTGTTGCTGTAATTTAAAGTGCGTGGCGCTAGCCACTTGCTCTCCGACCCCCCGCCCCGCACCCACAACTGCCCTTACAGTTAGTTTCTAGCCGTTTCGCGCCTATTTCGTATACGTTTCTTGCCCGTTCGTCGTGTGGACAAACAAAATTTCATTCATGGAAAACAAAAATCATCTAGAAATTGCCTTTAATAACGGAAATATATTTATTAAAAGGTAACTAAATTATTTGTTGTGCGTCATTTTTGTGTTTTTTTTTTTGAAAATTGTTTTAAATTTAAACAAATTATTTCATCATAATTATCCACATTAAAATACCTCTACATGACATTCTCTAGCTCTAATCCTGAATCTTTGCCTTCAGTTTGGGGGCTCAGGCAAATCGTGCGCCCACTCAAGGCTACGCATGCGCCCCGCGCCCCGCCTTGTTCAGAATGTCAATTTGCGTATTATGTAACCGTTTCTAAGGTCAAAGTTAAAAGCAAAAGGTTCTAATGAAGGTCTCCCCCAACTAGACATTTAATCGCAACTCATTATCAAGCTGCTCGTTATTGTGGTATTTTTTAAGTGGTATCTGCCTCGAGCTCAGCTCTCAGTCAGGGCATTATTCCAAGTATCCGTAGGCCTATTTATATGCGGCATAATACAATTAATGCAAATGGAATTCCGCAGGCGAAATGATATCATGCGGAATCACATTGTACGGCAGCTTATAATATGCCTAGCTAAAAATAGTATAAAACCTTTATTTAACACTGTTTTTTAGTATTTACAAAAACAGAGTTGATTTGAGTGGAACTAGTTTTTTGGAATAAGTAATAGATTAATGGAATGCTTGAAAAAAGTACTGCAAATTATTTAGTATATCAGCTATAGATATAGTATAATATATATATATGATATATCGCTTTGATTTCTTTGGAAAGACATAGTTAACATTATTCTTCTGTTGAACTGAACTAGTTAAATTAGTTCTTTGGAACTGCTGAGATTATCAGTTTACGGCTCAGCCCTGGATATAATCCAAGGAACTTGTCTTATCACAACCTTCTATTATTAGTTCATTTCACGCAAGTTCTTATAGCACTTTTATGTTCCACATGAACTAGTTCGGTTCATGTGAACCATGTGCCTTCAAGTATTTGGCACTTCAATCTTTACATATCATATCTGTATCTATTCATTTAACTTTTCGCACTCTCAAATCGATTATTTTGCCAGAAGTTCCTTTGCACAGATTCGACAGTTGTAATGTCTATCATTAACATGTTCGCCGAGCCCATAAAAATCAGCATATAAACCCATTCCCTGCCCCCAAAGGAAACCACCCTCAAATATATATGTGCATAGCATGCGATGTTTATTCAACAAAAAACACGCCCCGAAATCAAGTTTTTCGCCAAACCCAGCACAACTTGAGGCTGCCCACAAAAATAGAAATAGAAAAAAAAACAACAACAACAACAACAACAACAATACTCAATGTCATGTTGTGAGTGTCCTTAAGGTCAATCAATGGACTTTTGCATAGCTCCTTTTGCTCTGCCTGATAAATAGTGCGATAAACCCGCCCCCCCTTCCCCCCTCGCTTGCTCCTCAAATTACTTTTCCAATAATTCAGCTTGAACCTGGAAGGTTTTGGTCTATCTAATATTACCTTCAGGCACCTTCAGTCCATTGATTTTCTCAATTGTATTGATTAGCTCACGTTCTTCTTGTGCTTCATTCATGCATTTCTGTTTTTTGTTTTTGCATAGGAAACATGTGCTCTTATAGCCTACAGAATACCCTGTAAACTTTGTGTACAGCATACAAACTTTTATAGTTCCAGATCTTATGAACTCAGAGTTGCGAGAGCCTGTTCAGATAGCTTTGGCTTTATTTATATGGCTTGCAAGCAGCTAACCATGTTTACTATTTATTTAAACATCTTCCTAGTTTCTTGGCATTCAATATGCCCACTTTTTTGGGGATATTACAGGATATATGTGAATGACATTGTCTTCAAGTCGTCGTCATCTTTGATGGCTTCGCATTCGATTACGCAATGCCCACTTGAAAGTTGCTTTCATTCATTTCCCCATTGTGAATTGTTGCCAACAACAACAACAATAACAACAACAACAACAACAACAACAACAACAAACAACGACAAACAACAAGAAAATATGGTACAACTTGCGAGCAACCCCTTTTTCGGTTTGACAATAGCTTCGCGCACAGCGTTGCGTA